CGCGTGACACGATCGTAGACGCAGGATTGTGATTGAACGTTGCAGTTCGTTGTCACGACTGCGACGTTAGGGATTCGGTGTTAATCACTTTGAGTCTCTTCCTATTTAATACGGTTTGCCGTTTTCGCGAGCGTGCTCGCGGGATATATTCATTTGGAGCCTTACAACCTCCATTTGGTTTCCCGTCCGTGGCATTGCGAAGCGAACCCGGTAGATCAGAGGAAAACCTCGTCTACCCGGTTGTGCGGTCGGTGATATCGTAAAAAACGACTATCACCGACCAAAGCAAAATAATACAGTCCACTAGCTATTGCGCTGAATTGCCAGTTAGCTCTCCCCTCCAAGCACACCAGACTGTCGCTGGAGCGCGAGACAAGCAGCTGACGAGCGCGTAATCGTTGACTTGTCCGCAAAATATTTATATTTGCCGGAATTTCTGTTACAGAAAACCTCCGACGCAGTAAGAAGGACGGAGAAAGAGGCGGACCAGGCCGAAAACAGGAGCCTGGGTCCATTTTCCTTTAGTTTTCCGTTTTTTTCTATTTTTTGTTATTTTTGTACGAATAATAAATCTATAGTTTTGTAATAAAAAAGTTATTTGAAAACTTGTAAGAATTTCTCTACCCTATCTTCTCCCTCGTCCGGAACCACACAGTTAGAGCCCCTGAGTGCTCTAACAAGATATAAAGTATTACATAATGTACATTCTGACACTGATATATGTCTTATTGAAAAACATCTTGAGAAGTCTCTAGAAGAACTCAATAAGGTATATATTATTGCAGAATCAATTGATTTCGCTTATACCAAAAATCTTGAAATAGTAACCGATCAAGTAAGAAAAATAAGAAATAAAAACAATAGATATAGGTCATGCACCATTATTATGGCCTTCTCATTATATAGCCAATCGTCGGCTGCATACAATTTATTAAGAAATTTTTTTATTTTATCTCATAAACGGTATTTACAATATCTTTCAGCCAATATGACCATTACACCAGATAATGATATAACAAATGAACATTATCTTATTAATATATCATCCAATTTAACATCTAGAGAAAAAATAGTGATTTTATTAATTGATGAAATTTATATTAGTTCAAAATTACAGTACAAATCAAACAGACTTGCGGGTTTCGCTTCAATTTCTAACGAATTGGCAAAAACCATTTTAGCTTTTATGATATGTTCAGCTTTTGGAAATTTTTCTGAAATTATTAAATTATTACCAGTTTTCAATATTACCGGGGCTGAAATGACACCCATTATTTATAAAATTATAGAATTTGTCCAAAAATGTGGTTTCGAAATAATATGCATTGTAGCAGATAATCATAGAATCAATAGAAATATGTTTAATAAATTATCTAATAATGGTATAAGTTTTCCTAATCCTTCACAATCTAATAAAACCATTTTTCTTTCTTTCGACTTTGTTCATATAATGGAAAATATTAGAAATAATTTGTTAAATTTAAAAAATGTAGATAAAACTTTCGTTTTCCCCGACATTTATACAAACGAACTAAGATTAGCTAAGTTTAATGATTTACGTACGGTTTACGATTTCGGAAAACATTTAATTGCTAAGAAAGCTTATAAATTAAACTATAAGTCACTGTATCCAAATAATTTTGACCGACAAAACGTTTTCCTCGTTGATAATATATTCCATCAGTCTACAATAGCAGCTATGAAAGATTTCAATTATACCGCTACTGCTCATTTTTTAGAAATATTTCGCAATTGGCGGGACATTGAGAACAATACAAGTAGTATAAAAGGTAACAGGAAAAGAAACGAATTTTGTAAACCGATTTTGAATGTTAATGATTTTAGATGTGAATTTTTAAAGAAATTTCTAATATGGTTAAATTCTTGGCAAAAGGGTATAGCCGAATAAGGGGGTCAAATGTGCCCCCAAACCGAATGGAACGAGCCACGGGTCATTCGATAGCAAAAAAAAAATAACCCCTGTGTGCAAATTTTTAACTTGAAATCTCGACCGTGGGGGTAGTAGTGGGGTGAAAACGAAAATCATGTTTTTGAATTATTTCTCTTGACCTATTGAGTAAAAAAATGTAAAAAAATTCAGAGACATTTCGGGTACCGGGGCACATACTTTGGGAGATTTTCAGATTTTTTGATTGAAGAACCAGGTAGTGAAAAATAAAAAACAGCAAAAAATGCCGAAAAATGCCGATTACGTATTGAAGGAGGCCCGGAACTACTTTTATACTTTTACAGTAAACAGGTATTACTATTACTATTACTCTCAATTTTTTTAAGATTTTTCATTTTGGTGCGCCGCAGTGAAAAAAAATAAAAACCGAGTTTTTCCTCATTTTCTGCGTATTAGAGTAACTTACACGTTGAATTTTTATGCATCCTTCAATATATAAGTGTTTTGTAGACTGTTTAATGTTTCTACACTAAGCAGAATTACATAACAATTGAAACAAATAAAATAAAGCCAACCGTTGAGCGCAATATATCCTAGAAAATCAACGATATTTTCAACGGCGTCGATGGCGCAGCGTTAGAGTGTCCGACTGCTGAACCGCTGGAAGTTTTTTTACCGTAGGTTCGAGTCTCTCTTCTGGACTTATTATTTTTTTTTCAATTTCTAACTATATAACAATGCTTTATATTTATTTATAAATGTTCTGATAGCATTTTACAAATATTTTAACCTGAAATATGTATAAATATAGTCTTGGAGTGTTTTTTTGCGTTTTTATTTTTTTTGTCAACCACGATTATTGTTTAACATCTCTTACACTGAAATTAATGTGAAATGTTAGTTTTCAAATCTCTTACCTTTGACTATTGTGAATGGATCGGAGCAGAAGATTGTATATTGGCTTACTATTACTTCTTCTCGCCCTTCGATCAAGCAGATCTTTCCTTCTCGTTCTCTTTCTTTGATAAATATGAATGTTTGCTGCGGCTTTAGTATCCCACGTAGACATGTAAGGGTTATTATCCTTTCCTTACTGCTGGTTTTAAAGATAATGAAAACACTTGTAGGACCAACCTCTACGGACCATGCCAAGTAATTATGTATAAATCCCATCGCATACAGTAGCTTGAACTGAGTAATTAAAAAATACATTGTGAAACCCGAACGCGACAATCACCCATTGACCTGAACGGTCTGGGCCCTCACCCAACGAACCTTTATTTCCTTCGTAACGCAGGTAGGACAGTTAATCATTTATCCCCGTGGTTTCCATCGAGCAATGATACTTCATTCAAAAATAAGCATGAAACGATCAAACTGGTACTTAAAAATGGGTTTATTAGAAAAAAGTATCATTGGCAGAGAGTGGGTTAATAGATTTGGCGTGGAATGGCCCTTACATGTCTACGTTAGATACTAAAGCCGCAGCAAACATTCATATTTATCAAAGAAAGAGAACGAGAAGGAAAGATCTGCTTGATCGAAGGGCGAGAAGAAGTAATAGTAAGCCAATATACAATCTTCTGCTCCGATCCATTCACAATAGTCAAAGGTAAGAGATTTGAAAACTAACATTTCACATTAATTTCAGTGTAAGAGATGTTAAACAATAATCGTGGTTGACAAAAAAAATAAAAACGCAAAAAACACTCCAAGACTATATTTATACATATTTCAGGTTAAAATATTTGTAAAATGCTATCAGAACATTTATAAATAAATATAAAGCATTGTTATATAGTTAGAATTTGAAAAAAAAAATACTAAGTCCAGAGGAGAGACTCGAACCTACGGTAAAAAAACTTCCAGCGGTTCAGCAGTCGGACACTCTAATGCTGCGCCATCGACGCCGTTGAAAATATCGTTGATTTTTTAGGATATATACACCCAATGGTTGGCTTTATTTTATTTGTTTCAATTGTTATGTAATTCTGCTTAGTGTAGAAACATTAAACAGTCTACAAAACACTTATATATTGAAGGATGCATAAAAATTAAACGTGTAAGTTACTCTAATACGCAGAAAATGAGGAAAAACTCGGTTTTTATTTTTTTTCACTGCGGCGCACCAAAATGAAAAATCTGAAAAAAATTGAGAATAATAGTAATAGTAATACCTGTTTACTGTAAAAGTATAAAAGTAGTTCCGGGCCTCCTTCAATACGTAATCGGCATTTTTCGGCATTTTTTGCTGTTTTTTATTTTTCACTACCTGGTTCTTCGATCAAAAAATCTGAAAATCTCCCAAAGTATGTGCCCCGGTACCCGAAATGTCTCTGAATTTTTTTACATTTTTTTACTCAATAGGTCAAGAGAAATAATTCAAAAACATGATTTTCGTTTTCACCCCACTACTACCCCCACGGTCGAGATTTCAAGTTAAAAATTTGCACACAGGGGTTATTTTTTTTTTGCTATCGAATGACCCGTGGCTCGTTCCATTCGGTTTGGGGGCACATTTGACCCCCTTATTCGGCTATACCCTTTGCAGACAAATGGCCATTTAACAGTAGATACTTTCAAAGCTCTGCACCAAAGTACTACAGTTCTTTTACTACTTACAGAGTACTGTTTTCAAAATTTTGATATATCATATCTTTTGGCTGGAAAATTTACAACCGAAAAATTAGAAAAACGATTTGGAAATTATAGACTTTTATCTGGTTGTAATTATCATGTGTCATATAACGAAATAATTCATGCAGAAAAAAAAATTAGATTAAAACATATATTTACAAAATCGGCAAATTCGTTTTCTCTTACTGAAATCAAAATTAAATTTCGAATTTGTGATGACAATAATAACGATCTTCATGATCTTCCCACTGATGTGACTTGTTTCTCAGGAATCTTCGATACCGAATACTTGTCCGATTGTGTTGTAGATGATTCCATTAAAATTTATATTTCTGGTTATGGGTCCCATTCTGTTGCTAAAAAATTAAATTGCAATATATGTCGTTTATTAGTTGTGGAGGATAAAGGTAAAACTGTAGGCGATGTATATTTTGATCACTTACAAAGAGGGGACCTTTCTGTCCCCACTGAAGAAGTGATAGCCTCATTTATTCATATGTATGCAATAATGGAAGCCATAATAAATGATGGCAATTTAGAATCTCAATTTTTGCAATCTGGAAATCATAAACATATTTTATGTAAATTAACATATATTAGCATTCAATCAGACATACATTATTTAGCATTTTCAGATACATGCGTTTGTGGTCGAGCTTACCAAAGTATTTGGTTTAAATTATTATCAATTTTTTCAAATATTTTATTAAACGATTATGTGAAAACTGTAAATAATAGTCAGTTGGAAACACGTACAGACATCACTTCTAAAAATCGTAAATTAAAAACTTTTAATAGGAACTAGATTTTCAATCATTTTTTTTAATATCATCTTTCTTAAAACATTAATTTTTATATATATTTAACTTATTCCTTTCAATATGTTTTAATACATTAATAGAGTTTTATTTACTTGCTTAGTATATTTTTATTATGAATACTATTTCACAAGATTCAGAGTCTTATTAGTTGTATTTCAAGTGAATTTCAAAGTATGTTTTGATATGTTTTGTTATTAATATTATTCAAAATTATTTATTATTATTTCAAAATGTAATACTTTATTTCTTTAAGAATACAAAAGTTATGTTTTTGTTATGTTTTTTTAAAAATATTAATTTTATTTTAGAAAATGGGATGATATGGCTATTGGCGAACCACCCATTATAATAAAAAAAAAAGGTAACGCGCCATGGTAAATACCCCTAGGGTGGTGAGGATATTTTTTACAATTATCATACTGTCCTCTAACACGATTTTATAATTAACTCCATAATTGTTCCTTTCAATAGCTAATTATGCTAACCTCTTTTCCACGGGCACTTAACCTGTTTGGCTTCGTACCAATAATTTTGCCTATTTCAGGTCTCTATTAACTTATACATACCTTTATCAATTTTTAAATCCTTCAGTTTGGTTCAAAGATGGTTTTAACTTGTTTCGCACTTCTATTTTCTTGAAATCTCTGTAAATATTTCAAATATAATGCATCACAACACCTAACTATTCCGACAGTCCACAAAATATATACCACATTTATAAACATTAATATACTTCTGTATTACTTCTACTTACTATAGTTATGATATTCATATATTCCTTATACATAATTAATAAAAAATACTGTATATTAGTATAATTTTATATCGCAAAATAACGTTAATTATAATCCTGAACACAAAACTCCACTATTGAACATAGGACTCCCGATCCGCACATGAGCGGTGTTGCCACGTTGCATAGCACGGCTAGTACTTACTAGAGTCGGCTGTGATTACGCTCTCGTAGAAGGAGGCCACGGCCCTCCACTTCTCCTCGCTGCCGAGCATGGCGCGCACTATGCCCGGCAGCGAGACATCCGGCCCGATGATGCTGACCAGGACACGGCGCTCCCCCTCCCACGCAGTGCATACCTCGAGGGTATGTTCCGCCGTGTGCTGCTCAGCGTCACAATGACAGCAACGCGCCGTCGGCTCCTTCCCTATCCGGCACAGGTATCTCCCGAAGCTGCCATGCCCCGAAAACACCTGTGCCATCCGGTAGGTAAGGCTTCCATGGCCTCTGTCCAGCCACTCACATAGGAGTGGCCGAACAGCCCCGACTGTCCGGTGCCCCGCGGTATGCAGGGCCAACCGCTCCTGCCACGCGTGCACCACGAACTGCCGGGCCTGGCGCTTCAACTCGCCCCAAGCAGGTTCCTGCACACCCGGGACCGCCCCCACCCCCGCGCGACGGTCGACGCGGTGACGATACATCATCGCGTGCGACTGCGCGAGGAGATCCATGGGCGGCATCCCCGCAAGAACCGTCGCCGCCTCATGCGACACGGTCCGGTACCCGCGGACGACCCTTAGCGCCATCCGCCTCTGCACCCGACGCAGCATCGTCATGCTGCGCCGGCAGGCCGCCAGGTCGTCCGCCCAGACGGGGGCCCCGTATAGGGCCACCGACTGAACCATTGCCACATAGAGGCGGCGAACTCGGCCCGCCGGGCCCCCCAGGTTGGGCAGAATCCGGCCCAAAGCCCCGACCAACCTCTCCAGCCGGGGGACCCGGCAGCGGAAATGCTCCTCGAAGCGCCAGTGGCTATCGAGGATCAGCCCCAGATACCTCATCTGGGGCTTCACCTCGATATTAGCCTCACCCACACGGATCAGAGGGGGTGGCGGATCCTGCCGAGGTGAATGGAACGCTATCACCTCGGTCTTATGGACCGCCACCGTCATCCCCATCCCTCTGATCCGGTCGACGACGCGTTGCGCCCCCTCCTCCGCGAGACACTTGGCCCGCCTTCAGTGCGCCCCGATGGCCAACACCAGTATGTCATCTGCATAACACACGGCGCTGACGCCGTCGGGGAGGTCGGCCCGCAACACCGCGTCGTACGCGATGTTCCACAGGAGTGGCCCTAGGACCGACCCCTGCGGAACCCCGCAGTACACCTCCCTCCGCATATGTCCATCCCGGCCCGGATACTCGATCCACCTGCCGCGGGGATAATCCCCGATCACCGCCCCGAGACAAGGGGGGACCCGATGATAGTCGAGCCCCCTCCTTATCTCCTCCCAGGGCAGTGTGTCCAAGGATATTGCCAAAGCCACCCTTCCCCGGGAGATGGCCGACTCCGAGAGGATCCTGACTCACCATCATTCATTCGGCACAGAGAAGCAAGCTGGCCTGAAGCATGGTTGTTCACCTAATCCTAATTGGAAGGAATGGGGTTATTTAACCAATGGCAAGGGGGGCCTTACACAGAAGGTTTAGAGCCGAAGTTTGATTTTAATGTCAAACAATGTACCGATAAAGTCGAAATTAACGTCAATGCGCCAGCTTATAGCTGTCGTATAGGGTATAGGTCATTTGGAAAGAAAGCCAATGGAAATTATCATCTCGCCATGCTTGATGGAAACAAATCATGCTCTTTTGGTTGCTTTGACTCTGTCGAGTTATATGAGAGTTTTACTAACCAGCCCCTTTATATGTCTTGCATAACACCCTATCTCGACATCTTTTGGGAAACGAGTTGTATCGTCGAAAAAACGAGGATAAGCAACAATGAGATTAAAAGCATCATGATTTATGCTCACCACACTGTTTTTAATACTGTAGAGAGATTATAAACTTGTCAAAACACTTTTAGTTTTAAGAACTGTTGTGGTGGAAAAGGTCCTGTTACGCAAGAACAAATGGTGTTCGCTGATAAATACTGTGCCTGCACTATGAACAAGGTTGCTGCGGTAGAGAGCCTATATCTTGGATTGATAGGACTATATTACTCATTATTAGATATGAACTACCAGTTGATTGTGCCCTTATTGCTGCTTGTAGGAATCGTTGTTAATCCATCTTTCTCTGGACTATCTTTATGCTTGTGGATATTATATCAGGTTGCAGCGGCTAAGGCACTATGCAATATAGACAACATAGTTGCTACTGAGTCTGTATTAGATACAATTGCAACAAACAAGGGATTTAGAGCCGAATTTAAAGTTCAAAAAGATCAATGTATATCAATCAGTGGAGGCTTACTGCATATAACGTCAATTCAAAAACGACACCTATATAGATTTGAGAAAACTGTCCCATTTAAAACTAAATTGACATGTGCAAAGGTTGACTGGGCTTGTTGGGGCAAAGTCAGCTTATACACAGAGGAAATGATTGTGCATATAGTTGCCAGCAAGGAGTGATTAAGACTAGACAAGAGGAAGTTCCTGCATTTGCCGGAAGCGGTTGCGCGGCATTTTGAGGAGTTTTAATCAGACAAGACCTATGCTTTTCTATTGGTGAATTTGGCAGTCAGTGTCGGTTTTATAGACATGTATCCTATGACCCTGTTGTTGTGTTGGAAGGTGACCTATATTATCACGGCGACGGCAAAAAGACACATTTAACTCTGATTGAAAGAGAAACGGTTAAGGGTATAACCATGCAAGCCATAGTGATGAATCACAAACAAGTTCCAATGTATATTGTCAAGAGAGGCGCCTTATATTTTTGCAGCTCTGTGGCAGTTGAAATACAACATCTGTGTGGGTCCTTAACTCTGTTGAAACCAAATGACATTTTACCAGATTGCTACGACACAGAACTGCAATGGAACCATGCTAAAGCGTCTTATGATGTTAAGTACAAACCGAGAGACGCAGATGCACTTATGCACAATTCATTCCACATTTGTAACAAAGATTCTAATGTGACATTCGCTGGAGAAGAAGCGTATTATACGGAAACATCTACTATGGCATTAATAACCCTAATTTCTAAAGATATATAATTTGTCAATGAGCATCAATGGTACCAACTTGATCTTTTGTCTATAAGCTCGGTTCCTGGTATGAGAGGTTTTAGACAATCAACTCACATCGAATTAAAAAATAGTTTATCACGTACTTGTAAAGTATTGGTCTCTCTTCCTGGTTGTACTGCTCTACAGTCAACTTTGATCATCATGCATTCAGTGAGCTCTATAGGATTGGAGTATTTCTGTCACGGAAACGCAATTAATAACTTACAATTGAACAGTAACGGTAATATCAAAATAGAAAATATTAAAGAAATAAATAGAAATTGGATACCCCTCAAAACTACTATAAGTAATTTGGCTATAGGAACGTTGTTGTCTGCAGATCCGTCGAAAATTACAAATGACCTCACTAACTGGATTGGATCTTTTAGATTTGCTTCTATTTACTCGCATGTTATTGCATGTGTTAGGAACTTGGCGAGGTTTACGATACGGTCGCTTGTGAATACCGCTATTTTTGAGGATAGCTAATTTCAATTCGCTTGTTAATAGTTACAGCTAAACGAGGAGTCAGGGCCCTAAAGAATCATTACAAAATTGAAGCAATTAGGAAGGGCCCTGCTCCGTCGTCCTCAATAGCGATTGACGTGTCATAAACCTTACAACTAGTCGCGCGGTCGAGTAACGACCTTAGTACCTGGGCACGGTCCCCGGTCGGGTGTTAGGAATTTTCCATTTCCAGGGAGGTCTAGTTTGTACCCCGACTGGTGGGCGGCAACCTAGACTAGGCGGTTTTTGGAAATCCAACCCCCGACCAGGGACGTCGACCGATTGGTCAGCCTCATCGGCAATTTTAGTATATAAGAAGAACATTGGAAGAGTTTAGTTAGATTAGCAACAGAATCATAGTTAGAAACGTTACTGTATTACTTATTGAATTCAATAAACACCAAATACACAACCATTAATTTCCTTCAAACGAAGGTGGTCCTTCGAGTTTGTATTAGTCGGCACACACGTGCAAACTCAACAATTTCCGAACGAGCAACACTCGACCACGGAAAGAACATTGGTCCTTCGAGCCGGATCTGGTAGCAGCAGACATAGCAACGGTGGAATTGGAATTCAATACAAAGGTTTAGTGACACTAGAACCGAGGATTCTTCATTGGAAGGAGGATCTTCACAACAGCAGATTGGATCTGATATAGCAGAATCTCCCAGCATTCATCGTCGGAGATTTGCAACTTGCAACAAGGAATCACACAATTGATTCCCACAACCACATTCGTCAATCACTGGACAATCTCTTAGTGAGAAATCGTCCAAATTCTGCGGAGAACCTGTGGCAGCCAAAACAGCATTCAGGATAGAGGCAGTGCACGTCATCTTCGAAGGACGTACTCCACCTGAACGAGATAGCAACGTTGTCGCAGGAGACAATATCAACGGTCAACAGCGTACCTGGACAAGACGAGCCAGCATCGCCATCTCCGTCAATTGTTCCCTATACTGTAAGTCTCCTTTCAATTTGTAATTGCAAAGAATAGTGTATAAAATGGATAGTCAATTGAAAGAACTCGCTCTGGAACGCGGAAGAATCAAGTCTGCCTTGACTCGCTTTAGGAATTTTTTCGATTCGTCCGCGAACACCACTAGTATAGAAATTCTCGAAAAACGTTTAAAATTAAACGAACCCTTACACGACAAATTTGATGAAATACAATCGCGAATAGAGACATTAGCAGTAGGATCGGATATTGAAACAATTCATGCAAAGGAACGGGATGAATTTGAAGTGGCGTACTTTGAAATTATTACGAGAGTCGAACAACATATTGCACAATTCCGTAGAGCTAGATCAACGCCAATTTCAAGCTCGTCCTCGCCCGCGATTAAGGAACCACCGGTCACGCCGCGATTACCTACAATAGTTTTACCCGAATTCAATGGGGATTATAACGATTGGTTGCGTTTCCGTGACACATTTGAGTCATTAATTCATAATAATGAAACGCTATCGGATATACAGCGATTTCATTATTTGAATTCTGCATTGAAAGGACCCGCGGCTAGAGTCACACAATCTTTGGGTGTTTCTGAGGCAAACTATCGGATTGCATGGTCTGCTCTAAAAAATAGATTTGAAGACCCTAGGTCATTAGTTCATCACCATACCAATGCGTTATTGGATCTACCGATCATGCAAAAACAAACTAGTTCGAGTCTCCGAGAATTCATCGATACGGCAAATAACCACATTCGTGCATTGGGTGCTCTCGGTGAACCGGTTCAAACGTGGGATACCTTGCTTATTTCGATCCTTAGCAAAAAATTAGATCCATTCACGGCTAAAAAATGGGAAGAACGCGTAGTCACTATGCCAGGAAGGCTCAAGCTACACGATTTAGTGGATTTCCTTGAGCAGCAATCAAAACTGCTCGAACGCACAACAACCAATCGACAACCAACCGTAAATTTACCAAACCTTACGAACAAAATAGATACCACTAAACCAAGAATTAAAACTCAATTCGGTGTAGCCTCTCACCTTGCAAGTACGCAAGTTCAATGCATATTTTGCAAGGGAGAACATTGGTTACAATATTGCGATAAATTGAAAGCGATGCCTCACGCTCAATTACACGACACCATTAAACGGTTGCAATGCTGCTTTAATTGTCTGCAATTGGGACATAGCATAAAAAATTGTACACGCGGACATTGTAGACGGTGTGGAAAAAAGCATCATACGCTTTTGCATCGAGATGATGCTACTCCACAGACGCGCGAACCATCTCACTTAGACTCTCAAGCAATCGCTAGCACATCTCAAGTACAATCATGTTTGTCAGGCTCAAAAACGCCCGCAATAGATTTTACGGTCCTCTCTACAGCATTGATACATATTGAAGATTCATTCGGGAAAAGGCACGAATGTTGCGCATTATTAGACGCGGGCTCACAAGCCCATTTTATAACCGAGGATTTGTGCAGTAAGCTAAGACTTCCATTAAAATCTACCGCAATGACCGTTGGCGGTGTCGGTAGATCGATTAACCCTATTAACTCTCGGACAGAGGTAGTCATACGGTCAGTTTGTAATACTTTCAAATCAAACTTGTCGTGTTTAGTGATCGAAAATATAACCGAGAACATGCCAAATGTGCCGCTCAATCGTTCAAATATTCCGATACCTGACGGAATCACAATAGCCGACCCTCATTTCAATGAGCCAAAACGAATCGACTTGTTAATAGGTGCCGGACTTTTCTGGCAGCTATTATGCATAGGCCAACACAAGGTTGGAAACGGATTAGTATGGCAGAAAACTCGCTTCGGTTGGGTGTTGGGAGGCAGTCTGAGCTGGCCAATAAATTATCCGATAGTCAACGCCAACACGTGTCATATCGCGAACGACGAATTGCACCGGGCAATTTCTAGATTTTGGGAGATAGAAGACGGGCACTCGAATCAATTAGAAGCCAGTAACCATTTAGAAGACTACGGAGCGAATCACCACAACCTGGCACATCTATCGAGCCAACAATAATATCTAAAAGTAGCAGTTCCACACATTCAAGTTCGACAATTGTCATGGACAGCATCACAATAGAAGCACCTTTTAGATTCATCCTAATTGAAGGGATGCCAAATCCAGAACAAATACAAAATATTTACTCGCGTATGTGGGAAATAAGGGCACCTACAAGCCTTTGGGATTTGTTGGACACCCATCTTCATAAATTTATCGAAGTAAAAGTTAGTAGAAATATTAGAGCTTGTATGGCATTTTATGAAGAAAAGAGGGTTGGGCTCCTCCAAAATAGTGCTTTATGTGTGGTAGACCCAGTATCAGGGATATGTACTTGGAAAGACCATCCTGGGGATCTAAATGGAGAAAGGAAAGTGATGTCTTTCATAATCACTAGATATGAAATCATGAAAGCGCTTTCTATAGTGGATACAGATATCCAAGATACAGAAAATCTATTAGAATATGTTTTCCCAGACGACATCTTTAATGAGATGAAAACAAAATGGATAAGTGATTGGTATCCACCTGGGATGGATCTTGACATCTCCAAAATCATTTTGGAAGGAGATAAAAGGCCTTTAGGGATATCTGCAAAAGAGTTGTTAGAGAATCTAAGCACTTTGAATGAATCCGAGCGAACAGACAAAGTGAAGTGGAGAGGCAAATTGTTGCCTGATGGATGGACATATAGTTTGATGGAAGGTTCTGAAACAGATGCTGAAATGGTGGATTCATTTTTTAGTTTCATAGAAGGCCAAGAATGGAACCATGTGAAACTAAATCCCAAGACTCCTTGTAATCATAGTTTCATAGAGACTGTAAAAGAAGTTTGGAGAAATTCTGAGGGAAAAAACTTTTCATTGAACCTAAAAAATTCACCTTATACTTCCCAAATAATGGACATGCTGGGAGTGGGATCCAAAGAAAAGAAGCACAACGTATTATGTACCGATACCAAACAACCTGAAAGAGGAGAGTTATCTCCACTAAAATATGATTCTTATTTCGACGAGATTGTAAGGAGAATGAACAAGGATCATGAGTTAGAAGGGAACCCTTTTGATGGATTAGCATCAGATTTCTCAGATACTGACCACCCCATTGCTAAGATAGGGATAGAGTCTACGAGATCTTTGTTGGAAATTATCGCAAGAAAGAACTCCGCAGTATATTCCTCCAGATTGACAAATTTATATTCAAGACTTGGTGGAGCATATTTGATCACTAAAGAAAACAATAAAACTAACCATAGTGATATAGCACTGATGCCCATATACGCAACTATAAGAAATCCAACTTCAAATGTTAAGAAAAGGGCAGTTACAGGGATCTCCCTGAGAGGACCTCAACACGCTCGATCTCCAACAGATAGAATACCCATTGTCACTTTTGAAATATTATTAAACCAATCCTAGCATCGCTTAATCCGTTTCTGGATAAAGACGAACTAATTAGGGTGGGCGGTAGACTCGTTAACGCATCCATAACATATGATCAGAAACATCCAATGATATTGCCATCAAATCATCCATTGACCTCATTGATTATTGAACACGAGCACCATAGATTACTACATGCTGGGTGCCAGCTAACACTTTCGTCCTTACGCAGACGATTTTGGCCATTGTCAGGGAAACGCACCGTAAGGGGAATATTGCACCGGTGCGTCAGATGTTTTAGAACGAATCCCAAAGGCGAAAGTTACCTTATGGGAAACTTACCTGCTGCACGAGTGACACCAGCACGGGCTTTTTCTACCTGCGGTGTAGATTACGCAGGTCCATTTTTAGTCAAAGAAAGGGGACGCGCACGAATCACTCGTAAAACCTACATTTGTATTTTTGTATGCTTTGTGACAAAGGCTGTGCATATTGAACTTGCCACAGACCTGAGTAGTGACGCATTCCTCAATTGCCTGCATCGTTTCATGGGTCGCAGAGGTCGTAGCCAATGTATCTATTCCGATAACGGGACTAATTTCATCGGAGCTAAAAATCAATTAACCGAATTAGGAATACTGCTAAATAGTAAAACACATAAGGACCGCATACAAGGTGTCCTAACCCAAGAACAAATGCAGTGGTATATGATCCCACCTCATGCACCGCATTTCGGCGGTTTATGGGAAGGGGCGGTCAAATCAGTCAAAACACATTTAAAGCGAGTCATAGGCGAACAAATTTTGACTTTCGAAGAATTATACACTATTCTTGTGCAAATAGAAGCTTGTTTGAATTCCCGTCCCCTCCACCCTTTGTCCAACGATCCTAACGATTTAGCGCCACTAACTCCTGGTCATTTTCTAATTGGCGATGCAATTACGGCACTTCCACACCCAGATCTAGCCCATGTGAAACAAAATCGACTGAATCGGTATCAACTGATTCAATATACCATCCAGCATTTTTGGAAACGATGGCATCAGGAATATTTGCACGAACTACAGCAACGCCATAAATGGCAAACAGATTCACCTGGTGCCATCAAAATCGGAACCTTAGTTGTCATCCGCGAAGATAATCTCCCCCCTCTTCGATGGCGTTTGGGACGAATCATAGAAATCCACACCGGTTCCGACAACATAGTTCGAGTGGTCACGTTAAGGGTAGCCGACGGTCTAATTAAACGACCCGTAACAAAAATTTGTCGTCTTCCTATAGCTGAAGAAAGTCAGAAATAGAAATCATTCGCCTACGTGTACATCTTGTATATATATGTATATGAATATATCGACCTAACGTAAAATAAGTTAGAATAGTAATCGCACTCATTGTAAATTTTAGAATATAAGCTAATATTCCGTCTTTGAGCATATGTTTAGTTTCGAACTGCAGAGCAGTTCAAAGCGGGCGGGATGTTAGGAACTTGGCGAGGTTTACGATACGGTCGCTTGTGAATACCGCTATTTTTGAGGATAGCTAATTTCAATTCGCTTGTTAATAGTTACAGCTAAACGAGGAGTCAGGGCCCTAAAGAATCATTACAAAATTGAAGCAATTAGGAAGGGCCCTGCTCCGTCGTCCTCAATAGCGATTGACGTGTCATAAACCTTACAACTAGTCGCGCGGTCGAGTAACGACCTTAGTACCTGGGCACGGTCCCCGGTCGGGTGTTAGGAATTTTCCATTTCCAGGGAGGTCTAGTTTGTACCCCGACTGGTGGGCGGCAACCTAAACTAGGCGGTTTTTGGAAATCCAACCCCCGACCAGGGACGTCGACCGATTGGTCAGGTCCTTTACGCCTCATCGGCAATTTTAGTATATAAGAAGAACATTGGAAGAGTTTAGTTAGATTAGCAACAGAATCATAGTTAGAAACGTTACTGTATTACTTATTGAATTCAATAAACACCAAATACACAACCATTAATTTCCTTCAAACGAAGGTGGTCCTTCGAGTTTGTATTAGTCGGCACACACGTGCAAACTCAACAATTTCCGAACGAGCAACACTCGACCACGGAAAGAACAGCATGGTTTGCGGGAAATTGGTTCAAATATATTGTATATGCATTTTTGTTATTAGTTGCTTATAATAGCGTAATTAGAGGAAATTTGACTAATGTTGTTGTTTGCACTATCATATTTTATTTGGTTGGTTTAGTACATTCTTCACAAGCTCTGGAATTGAATCCCGCTGTTGTCCCTGCTACCACTATTAAGTTATTAAGAAGCAACCTCATCTGGTTTCTTCGATACAATTTATTCGATGAATATGTTCTTGCTAATTTTTTGGACTGGATAATACTGTTTCTATTGGTTTTAATCTACTCAACGATCGTTGGCTTCATCTTAGCTGTGTTAATTGCTTTATCAGTTAAATTTTTGGTTCAGTATATTGACGAGATGGATCACATGGACGAGTTGGCACCTGTTGGCAGAGAACTAAGGTATCCAGGTTTTATGTCGATATCAACCACTTTTAGACAAAAATTGAAATTCAAGCATAGATATACGGAAGATTTGTTTAGCCCAAGCGAGGACAGGAATAAATTCGTCGCATGGAGTAAGGTTAAAAATAATTTGGCAAGAGTGATGTTAAACGATGGCAAACCCGTCTCTTTCAAGAAGATACTGCCATTGATAAAGTGCAAGAGACATAGCCCAAATGGAATACAGAATATAGCAATAAACAATGGCTATTTTTCATACGAGTGGATTGACGACAAACTAACTCTTTATTTAACAGCCCATGTAGTACAAGTAAATACACAGTTTATGCGACGCATATATGGCGATGTTTATGCATCGACATATAAAAATGCTTCTCTTGTACCTTTAGACGGAGAAACCCCTAAGGGTTTGTTAATTGATGGGAAAGTAGCTAATATATTGGACGATGAAGTCTTAAAAGGCTTATCTGGTTGGACAATCGTCAGCAATACTCATTTCTATGTAGTTCATGCAAGCCAACAAGGGGAACTAGCGTCTTATCCCAAAGCAGAAAAACCACTAGCACCATTTGATATTCCGTTTGTATGCCAGAATTGCAAGAGGGATAGAACAGTGACTCAACCATCAACAAGCACTTCATTACCAGATGAACATCAAGAAAGATTAAATAGGAGAGAACAATTAAGAAGGGCCCCACTCGGGGACATTGATATAATAGAATATGAAGATGCTTGGGGCATCAAATATGACATGTTCCGAGAGGGAGTCAGAAAGGGCTTAATCTGTAGAGATATAAAACTGTGGGCGACGCATGTTGCCGAAATTGAAGGAGTTGAAATATTACCTGATATCGCTACTGAAGGTAGCAATTTTAGACCCTACGCATCCGTTGAGGAGTACAAAGTTGTGTACACAACCTTTGAAACTGAGAAAGTGTTTGCATTTTTGCAACCTAGACAAATTTTCTGTATATTCACTGATGACACGCTGATAGTAGTTGAAGCACCTGTATTTAAAACAAAACATAAGCTGCTTTCTGGGACCTTAGTATACGTTTGGTATAAAGGTTTCATTCCATCAAAAGACAATTTCAAAGCTACATCAGTAATAACTATGGGTAGA